GAATGCCCACCGATTGCCATCACTACTAGTAAAATAAAAATAATAAAAAAAATCCCAGTATATATACCGCCATTTGTAGATGCTATAACTTTCACGTAAATCAATTAATTTACACGTATTGGGATTTTTTTTAGCAAACACGGCCTGAATTTATGCAGAAATTTGATTTTTAAATTTTTTTTTACTGGACATGTTTCATAGCAAAAAGTCAGAAATATTGTTTTTTTTTTTTCAAAATTGTTGGTCTATTTTTTTTTTTTTTCTAAAGCGCAAAAAATAATAAACGCACTGGGGAACAAATAACACTGAAAGAAAGCTGTATTCATGAAAAAAAAAAAAAGGACGTAAATTTGATTTGGGTGCAGCGTTGCATGACCACTCTATTACCAGTTAAAGCAACGCAGTGCCACATCGCAAAAAAATGGCCTGGTCAGGAAGGGGTCGTGGGGGTAAATCCTCTGGAGGTTAATATCACTTAATAATGAGCACTTATTGATCTATTTAGCTGTAGCCACATTGGAATAGTTCATCCACAAATTTACAGCAGAAGCTTTTTTCTTTCTACTTTCTGACTTTAGAGTTTTTTTTGTGATGTTTGAGGATGAATTTCCTGTAGCTACAGATGTCAATGATGGCTTATTTTACATCTTATTTACTGCTTGTTAGGAGTTTGGAAATAGTTGAATGGCCATAACCTGGCCCAGCTTTACTTTACAGAAACGTATTAAAGTATCATAAACTCAGAAAAGTCTGTTTTCCCTAAAGCATATTATTTTCTGCAAAACAACAGGTAAAGTTCAAGTCCTTTCTGCACATTTCATAACAACTGATAATTAAATCCCGAATGTGAAAATATAGAAGTGGTCCACAAGACCAAATGAGGCTTTTGGGAATTAAGCAATACTCAAGAGGACACAGATATTACAATAAAAACCTCTTTTAATTGATGTGTTTCTGCACAGCGATTTGCTGTACGGGAAGACACATATATCAAGTTTTTATCAAACCGCAAAGACAAAAGGAGCAACTGAACTAAGCAATGTTCTAAAACTCCCTTAAGGTATTGATTTAGAAAAAAGAAAAACAGAACAGAAATTGTTTCAGAAGTTACTATGTGCAGTGTTGCATAAGAAATAGAGATATTTGAGATACGAAGATAAATCATTTGTTATTATTATTTTTAATTTAATTTATTTATTTTTAAGTAAACTATATGTAAAGGAAGCTTGTCAGTTACACAGTTATAGTTATGCTGGCCATACATGGGTTAAATTCTGAATGAATTTTCTTTAGAAAATCGGAAATCTTGTGTATTATGTAATCAGATGGTGCCAACACTGATTTTGAAATTCAACCAACCAAGCCTTTACTTTCACCTACAGAAATACATTTTCCTGGCCAAGAATTTTCTTTTCTTTCCAGGTCACAGCTTATGCTCATTTCTTTTCTGATTACATTTCTCGCACAATTCTTCCATCGTTGATTAGAAATTCATTCATTTTTCAAAAGATGTTGAATCAATCAATGGACACTCGAAAATCGGCTGTTGCTGTATCCCGCTAATGGTACAAAATTTGAACAAAAATTCTTAAAAAAGATTTTTAAAAGAAAATTCTTTTCGGAATTCGACCCACGTATGGCCAGCTTTAGTCTGATTGAAAAAAGACACAAATCCATCCAGTTCAACCAATAATAAAAAGGTGAGTTTAAGGTACTGTTTAATACCATAAGTCATTCTAGAGTTTTATTCTCCAAATTTTAGTTTGCTACAGCCCAGTGGATCTCAATCAACAGCCATTTTTTAATATATATACTTTATTTAATCTTTTGTTGTATCTCAAAGGTGTATTTATAAAAAAAAGTTGCAGTGCTATATGTCCTGTGAAACTGTTCTGTATGAATAAGGGCACAAATCACTATTTTCCCTCCAGGTTGAATGTTTTTTATTCTTACAGTATAGAGTGAATAAGGAAAATAGTGCTCTTGTTGACTACTTGAAGCTCAACCGTTGTCAATTCAAATGCTTCAGGATCAGGAATAATCACTGGTTAATAACTATAATAACTTGCATCCGTTCGCATGACCTTTAATGTTGACAATCTGCATAATTGAAGGTTCTAATAGTCAACATTCTGTATTATACTAGCAGTAATAATAATAATAGTTCTACCAAGCTGGGAGTTCATTTACACACAAAAAACATTATAAAGCCTAAAATCGATGTAAAAGTAATCACTAAGGATGAGATTCAGGATCAGATCAATGTTACATATTGTCTGAACTCTGCCTGCACTCAGCCGAAACTTCAAATGCACAAAACCACTTGAGTTCTGGAAGATTTTACCCCCTTGGTGACCAGGTCATTTTTTGCTATTCAGCACTGCGCCATTTTAACTGGTAATAGCGGTCATCCAACACTGTATCCAAAATACATTTATATAATTATTTTTACAAAAATAGAGCTTTTTGATGGATTTTGATCACCGATGTTTTGGGTTTTTTAACCCCTCGCCCTCCAGTGGATTTACCCCCCTTCCTGACCTGGCCATTTTTTGCGTTACGGCGCTGCGTTATTTTAACTGACAATTGCGTGGTCATGCAACACTGCACCCAAATGAAATGTACGTCCTTTTTTCCCCCACGAATAGAGCTTTCTTTCAGTGGTATTTGATTGACTATGCGTCTTCATTTTTGCGCTATAAAAAAAAAAAAAAGGCTGACAATTTTTTAGAAAAAAAAAACAATATTTTTGACTTTTTGCTATTAACCACATAAGGACCGCCCACAGTACATTTACTGCTGCAGGGTGGTCCCTGTGCGCAAAATCATATATATTTTTGATTATGCATCTTTGGGTAGGGGCATGCTCGAGGTGCGTGCCCTCCTTACCCGTGCCGCTGATCACGGCCCCAGGTGCCAATCTCCGGGCCCCAGCAGGTGATTATCTGCCAGCACCCAGTGATTACCGGTGATCACTGACAGGGAGGAAGGCTATATTGTTTACCAACAACCCTCCTCCCTGTCAGTTTGGGCACACTACTCAGCATGGCTGAAACTGATCAGTGTGCTTACAGTAAAGCATCTCCCGCCCCCTAGTAAAACACTCCCTACACACAGTTAACCCTTTGATTACCCCCCATTGTACCCATTCCTGCCCAGTGCCATTAGTACAGTGTCATTGTTTTTTTTTTTAGCACTAATCACTGTATTGGTGTCACTGGGGATGTCAGCAACACCAAGTCAGTTCCCAACAGTGTCAGAATGCCGCAGTCCTACAGTCCTGCTATAAGTCACTGATCGCCGCCATTATTAGTATAAAAAAAAAACAAATTCTAATATCTATACCGCCATTTGTAAACACTATAACTTTCACATAAACCAATTAATTTACACGTATTGGGATTTTATTTAGCAAAGACATGTCGCAGAATATATTTTGGCCTACATTTATGACAAAATTAGATTTTTAAATAATTTTACTGGACATGTTTAATAGCAAAGAGTCCAAAATATTGTTTGTTTGTTTCTTCAAAATTGTCGGTATTTTTTTTTTTTTATAGCGCAAAAAATAAAAAATACACAGGTGATCAAATTCCACCAAAAGAAATCTCGATTCATGGGAAAAAAGGACGTACATTTAATTGGGTGCACCATTGCATGACCGTGCAATTGTCAGTTAAAGTAACAATGCCGTAATGCAAACCGCTTCTTTAATACTACTTCCTGACCGCCCTATAGCAGAAATACTGTTACAGGGCAGCACGGGTGCACAAAATCACATATATATATATATATATATATATATATATATATATATATATATACAGATGGCAAGTGGTTTAAACATGTCCATGAAAACAAATTAAAAAAATAAAATTTTGTCATTAATTTAGGCCAAAATGTATTCTGTTCCATGTCTTTGCTAACAAAAATACCCCAATATGTGTAAATTAATTGGTTTATGTGAAAGTTATAGCGTTTACAAATGGTAGTATAGATACTGGGATTTTTTTAAATTTTTACTAGTAATGGTGGCGATCAGTGACTTATAGCGGGACTGTGGTGAGCATTTTGACACTGGGGGGAACTGACTTGGTGTCACTGACATATCCCATAAACACCAATACAGTGATCAGTGCTAATAAAAAGCACTGACACTGTATTATGGCACTGGGCAGGAAGGGGTTAACATGCGGGGTGAGCAAAGGGTTAACTGTGTGCTGTTTTCCTAGGGGCTGTGTCTGTGTGCTTCACTGTAAGCACACTATGCCATGACTGTGCTAAGCACAGCCATGCAAAGCAGTGTGCAGGAGCTGACAGGGGAGAGAACTGTGTTGTTTTACAAACAGTTCTCCCCCAGCCGTCAGAGATGCTCAGCAGTCACCGGGCCTGGTGATTGACAGCCGTGGAAATGCAAAATCACGTGTATATATACGTGATTTTGTGCACCCTGTTGCCCTGTAGCAGTACTTCTGCAACAGGGCGGACAGGAAGAGGTTAATCACTATTATTATAAAAACAGAAAATGACCGAAAATTTTGAAAAAAAACCCAATATTTTTTACTTTCTTTTTTAAAACATATCCAATAAAAAAAATAAAAAATCGAATTTCTTCATAAATTAGGCCAATATGTAATCTGCTTCGAACCAGGCGAACCGGAATTCGAGTCGAATTTCAGGAAATATTCGATTCGCGGCGAAACCGAAATTTTGCCTACTTCGGGTGCGCGAATCGAACATTTCCCGATCAGCCGGCAAAAGTGTCCCTGCAGTGAGCTCCGCTATTTCTGACAGTTCTCTGACAGAAGGAACACATGTTTAGCGGTTGAAACATTGTATCTATTAGTTTACATTTAGGATACAGATGTTTCAACCACTGTACATGTGAAGAAGCTGTGAGAGAACTGTCAGAAATAGAGGAACTCTGCACATACACTTTTTGCCGGCTTGGAATTATTCTTCTTTTCATCCTACTTCTTCTTCTTCTTCATCTCATCCTCAGAAGAAGAGGATGAGGATGAGGATGGATGAAGAAGAAGAAGAAGAAGTAGGATGAAAAGAAGAATAATTCCAAGCCGGCAAAAAGTGTATGTGCAGAGTTCCTCTATTTCTGACAGTTCTCTCACAGCTTCTTCACATGTACAGCGGTTGAAACATCTGTATCCTAAATGGAAACTAATAGATACAAATTGTATCTATTAGTTTCCATTTAGGATACAGATGTTTCAACCGCTGTACATGTGAAGAAGCTGTGAGAGAACTGTCAGAAATAGAGGAACTCTGCACATACACTTTTTGCCGGCTTGGAATTATTCTTCTTTTTCATCATCATCATCCTCATCCTCTTCTTCTGAGGATGAGGATGAGGATGAAGAAGAAGAAGAAGAAGAGCAGTAGGATGAAAATAAGAATAATTCCAAACCGGCAAAAAGTGTATGTGCAGAGTTCCTCTATTCTGCAGATATACACTTAGAGGAGCTCTGCACATACACTTTTTGCCATACACTTTTTTTGGAATTAATCTTATTTTCATCCTACTTCTTCTTCTTCTTCTTCTTCTTCTTATCCTCATCCTCATCCTCAGAAGAAGAAGAGAGAGAAGATGAGGAAGAAGAAGAAAGAAGAAGAAGAAGAAGTAGGATGAAAATAAGAATAATTGCAAGCCGGCAAAAAGTGTATGTGCAGAGTTCCTCTATTCTGCAGATACACTTAGAGGAGCTCTGCAGATACACTTAGAGGAGCTCTGCACATACACTTTTTGCCGGCTTGGAATTAATCTTATTTTCATCCTACTTCTTCTTCTTCTTCTTCATTCTCATCCTCATCCTCATCCTCAGAAGAAGAAGAAGAGGATGAAGAAGAAGAAGAAGAAGTAGGATGAAAATAAGAATAATTCCAAGCCGGCAAAAAGTGTATGTGCAGAGCTCCTCTAAGTGTATCTGCAGAGCTCCTCTAAGTGTATCTGCAGAATAGAGGAACTCTGCACATACACTTTTTGCCGGAAACCGCTGTATGGAGGGAATGTCCCAGAACTGTCAGAAATAGTCTCTTTCTGACAGTTCTGGGACATTCACTCCATACAGCGGTTTCAACCGCTGTATGGAGGGAATGTCATAGAACTGTCAGAAATAGACTATTAATGACAGTTCTGGGACTGTCCTTCCATACAGCGGTTGAAAAATTGTATCTATTTGTTTCATAAATGACATTCTGCAGATACACTTAGAGGAGCGCTGCAGATACACTTTTTGCCGGCTTGGAATTTATTCTTATTTTCATCCTACTTCTTCTTTTTTGAAGAAGAAGAAGTAGGATGAAAATAAGATTAATTCCAAGCCGGCAAAAAGTGTATCTGCAGCGCTCCTCTAAGTGTATTTGCAGAATGTCATTTATGGAAAAAAATAGATACAATGTTTCAACCGCTGTATGGAAGGACAGTCCCAGAACTGTCATAAATAGTCTATTTCTGACAGTTCTGGGACATTCACTCCATACAGCTGTTTCAACCGCTGTATGGAGGGAATGTCATAGAACTGTCAGAAATAGACTATTAATGACAGTTCTGGGACTGTCCAAATACATACAATGTTTCATAAAAATCCCGCAATTTTGTATGGAAAGGACAGTCCCAGAACTGTCATTAATAGTCTATTTCTGACAGTTCCATGACATTCCCTCCATACAGCGGTTTGAAACAGCTGTATGGAGTGAATGTCCCAGAACTGTCAGAAATAGTCTATTTATTTCTGACAGTTCTGGGGACAACACTCCATACAGCTGTTTCAACCGCTGTATGGAGGGAATGTCATGGAACTGTCAGAAATAGACTATTAATGACAGTTCTGGGACTGTCCTTCCATACAGCGGTTGAAACATTGTATGTATATTTGTTTCCATAAATGGATCCATTTATGGAAACAAATACATACAATGTTTCAACCGCTGTATGGAAGGACAGTCCCAGAACTGTCAGAAATAGTCTATTTCTGACAGTTCTGGGACATTCACTCCATACAGCTGTTTCAACGCGCTGCTGTATGGAGGGAATGTCATAGAACTGTCAGAAATAGACTATTAATGACAGTTCTGGGACTGTCCTTCCATACAGCGGTTGAAACATTGTATCTATTTGTTTCCATAAATGGATCCATTTATGGAAAACAAATAGATACAATGTTTCAACCGCTGTATGGAAGGACAGTCCCAGAACTGTCATTAAATAGTCTATTTCTGACAGTTCTATGTGACATTCCCTCCATACAGCGGTTGAAAACAGCTGTATGGAGTGAATGTCCCCAGAACTGTCAGAAATAGACTATTTATGGCAGTTCTGGGACATTCACTCCATACAGCGGTGTAAACATTGTATCTATTTTTTTTCCATGAAAATGACATGACATTCTGCAAATACACTTAGAGGAGCGCTGCAGATACACTTTTTGCCGGCTTGGAATTAATCTTATTTTCATCCTACTTCTTCTTCTTCATCCTCATCCTCATCCTCATAAGAAGAAAAAAGAAGAAGTAGGATGAAAATAAGAATAATTCCAAGCCGGCAAAAAGTGTATCTGCAGCGCTCCTCTAAGTGTATCTGCAGAATGTCATTTATGGAAAAAAAATAGATACAATGTTTCAAACCGCTGTATGGAGTGAATGTCCCAGAACTGTCATAAATAGTCTATTTCTGACAGTTCTGGGACATTCACTCCATACAGCTGTTTCAACCGCTGTATGGAGGGAATGTCATGGAACTGTCAGAAATAGACTATTAATGACAGTCTCTGGGACTGTCCTTCCATACAGCGGTTGAAACATTGTATGTATTTGTTTCCATAAATGGATCCATTTATGGAAAACAAATACATACAATGTTTCAACCGCTGTATGGAAGGACAGTCCCAGAACTGTCATAAATAGTCTATTTCTGACAGTTTCTGGGACATTCACTCCATACAGCTGTTTCAACCGCTGTATGGAGGGAATGTCATAGAACTGTCAGAAATAGACTATTAATGACAGTTCTGGGACTGTCCTTCCATACAGCGGTTGAAAACATTGTATGTATTTGTTTCCATAAATGGATCCATTTATGGAAACAAATACATACAATGTTTCAACCGCTGCATGGAAGGACAGTCCCAGAACTGTCATTAATAGTCTATTTCTGACAGTTCCATGACATTCCCTCCTCCTACAGTGGTTGAAACAGCTGTATTATGGAGTGAATGTCCCAGAACTGTCAGAAATAGACAGAAGAAACTGTCACAGAACTGTCTCCTTCTTCTCATCCTTCTCCTTCTCTTCTCCTTCTTCATCCTTCTTCTCATCCTTCTTCTCATCCTTCCTTCTCTTCCTTCTCCTTCTCTTCTCATCCTTCTCCTTCTTCTCATCCTTCTCCTTCTCTTTCTTCTCATCCTTCTCCTTCTCCATCTTCTCATCCTTCTCCCTTTTCTTTCTTTCTCATCCTTCTCCTTCTTCTTCTCCTTCTCCTTCTCCTTCTCTCCTTCTCCTTCCTTCTCCTTCTTCTCCTTCTTCTCCATCTTCTCCTTCTCCTTCTTCTCATCTTCTCCTTCTCCTTCTTCTCATCCTTCTCCTTCTTCTCATCCTTCTCCTTCTTCTCATCCTTCTCCTTCTCCTTCTCCTCATCCTTCTCCTTCTTCTCATCCTTCTCCTTCTCCTTCTTCTCATCCTTCTCCTTCTCCTTCTTCTCATCCTTCTCCTTCTCCATCTTTTCATCCTTCTCCTTCTCCTTCTTCTCATCCTTCTCCTTCTTCTCATCCTTCTCCTTCTCCTTCTTCTTCTCATCCTTCTCCTTCTTCTCATCCTTCTCCTTCTCCTCATCCTTCTCCTTCTCCTTCTCCTTCTCTCTCATCCTTCTCCTTCTCCTTCTTCTCATCCTTCTCCTTCTCCTTCTTCTCATCCTTCTCCTTCTCTTCTTCTCATCCTTCTCCTTCTTCTTCTCATCCTTCTCCTTCTTCTCATCCTTCTCCTTCTCCTTCTCCTTCTCTTTCCTCATCTCCAAGGGCATTTAAATTAAAGGTACAGTGTTCTGCACTAATTTAAAGGCTCTCTGAAGCCTAGAAACCCTTTTTATAAGTCATCTTCGTAGCGAAGAAATTCGCATCGAATCGAATTTCACACTGGAATTCGCCGAATCAGCCGAATCGAATTTTTGAGAAATTCGCTCATCTCTAAATATAATAATAATAAATTTAATTCAATAATATAATCAAACCAACAACACTGAAATTTGAAATATAGCGCCAAGTTCGCACATCACTGAGCAAAGTCGCAAAATCGTTTTCAGTGTCTGATGACGAATTTCCCCCACGAATCATTATCACTCAATTCTGCAAGTCGTTCTGATTTACTATCGCTGTTCTCTAGCCGGTCTAAAACCGCTTTTGACGTAAAGGGACGCTTTTTGGACGCCATGGACTTTTCTAAGTTTCCAGGCAGAAAGAACAGTCAAAATGCAGGCAGGGCACAGGACAAAGCACTCGGGACAAAATGTATGTGAAATGCATTGAAACAGCAATGTTTTACTATGTAATAATAATTTTTTAAAAAATGACATTTTTTAAAAATTTCAAATTTCCCGCCGGAACACGGAAGTCGGGATGCTGCAGGGGACACATCGTGGGAGGGAAGGACAAGGTAAGTGCTGCAGGGACTCCCTGAGCAACGCCGCATGGTAAGCCCGAGTGTAGCTCGGGGTTACCGCTCTTGGTACTCAAATTTTACCCCGAGCTACACTCGGGAATACCGCTAAGGAGGTTAATTGGTTTGCATGAAATTGTAGAATCTGCAAATTATGTTATATGTACTAGAATATTTATTCATTTTTTTAATACTACTAATGGCAGTTATCAGCTATTTATAGTGGGACTGTAAAAGTGCGGTTGGCAATCTGACAGTAACTGACATTTTGTGGGATGAACTGTCACTGACATCTTCAGTGACACTAATACAGTGATCAGTGATAACAATATACACTGTCACTGTACTAATGACACTTGCTGGGAAGGGGTTAATATTTAGGGGCAATCAAAGAGTTAACTGTGGGCCTAACAATGTTTACTGTGTGTGCTGTGTGCTGTTATTACTAAGCAATGTGCCGGTGTTTACTTTGCAGGGAGAAACAGAATAGCTCATCTACTAAAAGAAAGATCCCTGTGGTATCATTGTGTGAATCAAATCTAGATATCACTTGTGAAGGAACGCCTGTCACCCTGATTCTGTCAGAGAACCGCTTTCTTGCCACTGGGACACAGGATCAAGGTATTATAGCTGGGCATTGCACCCAAGATTAGAAGAGAGTAGCTTAGATCCGGGGGTGGACTGAAAACTCATAGGGCCCCTGGGCAATAGGGGATCATGGGGCGCCTGTGTCCTTTCCCCCACTCAATGCACACCCAAAAAAGCCTAAAAAAGGTACCAGGGGCATTTCATGGGACCCCCTACTGATCCCGGGCCCTTGGGCAGTGCCTGAGTGTTCGAATGGTCAGTCCGCCCCTGGTTTAGATGGCAAACAGTAACTCTTTATTGAACAGAAAACACAGGTTTTTACACAATCCAGAAATAGGGGCAGTGCCCACAGGAACAATAAATAAAAATATTACACATTGAGATAAACATCCCACACTGATTAGATAAGGAGGTGAAGATGACATCAGTCTAATCCTATCATGTAGGCACCTCCAGAAGGACTTACCACAAACTGAATTAACTCCATGAAGAATGGGAATGCACACCTAGGAGGCACACAATGGGAGAAGATAGGAAACACATAACACCTTAATAAACAGATTAGAGCATGAGGATGTTTTGAGCTGATTATATAAACATCTTCTTAGAGTCTCTGAGTCTAGGAAGGAGGTGGGGGCTGAAACAATCAATGCTGGTTTGGGCACAGAGACCCCAAATCTCTATCCTGGTTTTCCAGTTCTCAGAGTCTGTGTGTTTTGGGGAGACATAGACTTAATCCAAAGTAAACTACTCCAATGGTCTCCCCAGGCACACACCAAAGAATAGAGCCCCCTCAGATGCCAGGGACATGGTAAGTAGTCAAAAGGGTCTGTCACATCACCTAACAAAAATAAAAATAAAAAAAACCTGGAAAACAGAAAGAACATAGAGCTGCTATCACTCCACAGTGCAATCACCACACTTAAAGTGGTTTTAAAAGCTCAAGGTTTTTTACCTTCATGTATTCTTTGCATGAAAGTAAAAAAGCTTCTGTGTGCTGCAGTGCCCTCAGCCCCCTCAATACTTACCTGAGCCCCATCGAGATCAAGCGATGTGCACAACAGCTTTGGCTGTTCCAGGTCTCTGCCTCCTCATTTGCTGAGACATTAAGCAGAGAGCGGGGTCATTGGCTCCAGCTGCTGTCAATCACAGCCAGTCAGCCAATGAGAGAGAGAAGGGGGGTGCCATGGCTCTGTGTATGAGTGGACACACGGAGCAGCGGGTGCCCCCATAGCAAGCTGACAGAAGGAGCCAGGAGAGCCTACGGGGGACCCGAGAAGAGAAGGATCCAGGCTGCTCTGTGCAAAACTGCACTCAGCAGGTAAGTATAGACATGTTTGTATTTATTTTTACGGAAAAAAAAAAAGAACCTTTAGAATCGCTTTAAAATACAAATATTCCCAAAAAAAAAAGTGAAGCGCTCCAATATGTGTAAAATTGTAAAGTAGCTCAAAATACACATAAATCATTCAATCAGGTGTAAATTGTGACAAAAATGCAAAGACCGCTATCAACAATCAACGTGTAATACCAAAAAATGATGTGCTTTACCGAAAAGACTGAATACCTCAATCTTCTTACTCAAGTACATGATCAAATCATGCACAAATTGCCATAGCGCATTTATAAATCAGATAAAAGCATAATAAAGCCCCGAGCTCAGTTTGATCTGATGTTTTCACTGTTTACACTAGACCAAAACTGGAAGTGACTAAATACTTGTTGCTTCCTTCCATTATTATGCCTTATGCACACTGGATGTCTTTTTACAGCTTCCCCTAGGGGGCATCTGCCTTTTTTTTTTTTTCCTGCCACTAAACTTCCCTACATGTTAGCCTATGCGTGAATGCACACATAAAGCTTCCTTCCATTATTATGCCTTATGCACAACTGGATGTTTTAACAGCTTCCCCTAGGGGCATCTGCCATTTTTTTTCCTTATGTTAGCCTATGCGTGAATGCACACATTAAAGTTTTAGGAGGTGTTTAATGGCAGGAAAGTGTATAGACAAGACAAGAAAAAAAAGCCACTTCGGGACATCCAGGAGCAGACGCGTTTTGGTTAAAAAAAAAGCTTGACGTGCATTGAGCTTAGTGTTTGGGCGTTAATTCGTTTCAATGGCCAGATGTACACAGGACGATGTCTTTTGTCACACTGACTTATGAAGGTACTGTAGGTGCTTCCTGTGACTGTGTGTGCAGCCTTGTGCTGTCATCTGTTGGCATGTTACAAAACTAGCCTCAAAACTTTTGATACCGCCTTGTAATGTATTCTGGCCATTGAAACAAATTAACGCCCAAACACTAAGCGCAATGCACGTCAAGCATTTTTTTTTGCCAAAACGCTTCTCTATAGGAGAAGCACATGAATGCTACCAGTCAACAGCAAAAGGACCGCACTCCTCCCCCTCATTCCCACTCCTCTTCTTTGCATCTTATCACCCACTACAGAAGATTCTTGTTCTTGCAGCCACAAGCAACATGGATGGATGTCTTGCATTAGTGTTTCTCAACCTTTCTTCAGTTAAGGCACCCTTTAAAATTAAGGACAGTCTGAAGGCACCCCATTCTAAAATAGGGTGGCTCCAGACCAGGTGCGGACTGACCATTTGGAAACTCGGGCACTTCCCGAGGGCCTGGGGTCAGTAGGGGGCCCCATGAGATGCCCCTGGTATCTTTTTCATAGGCTTTTTTTTAGTTTGGGCAAGGACACAGGGGTCCCATGATCCCCCCTATTGCCCGGGGGCCCCATGAGTTGTTAGTCTTCCCCTGCTCCAGACAGAGGAGTCCCTAGGGTTGGTGTCACCCCTACAGAGAGGAAGGAGCGGTGCCGGTGTAGCGGTAAAATGAGGGGCCCCATGATCCCCCCTATTGCCCGGGGGCCCCATGAGTTGTCAGTCTGCCCCTGCTCCAGACAGAGGAGTCCATA